TTATCAAAATGCTCTTTAGCACTAGGCGTCTAGTAAGCGATAGCTATCGCTTACCTAGACAAAGGCCGAAGCACCACAGACACACTTCAAGCACAAACTCGTATTTGTAAATAAATCTAGTTAGAACGGCCTCGGCCAAAGTCTTACATAGCCTCGAGCTCACTAGACTCTAATGGAACAATAATAATAATAATAATAGATCCATAGCGGCATCATGATAGATTGTAGGTATCGTTGCGATGCGTCGATATCGGCAGGAGGATAGAAAAACGGTATATTTGGCTTTCGTACCAGGCTAGCATGGTGTCAAAAGAAAGCAAGGAACATGAACTATTTCTAGTTTTTATGAAGACGCCGCCGCTCCACCGAGGTGGGATCGATTGTTCTCCTATTATCATTGTCCTCTCGATTCTAGTGACGAGCAATCTCAACAGTAAGGATTGGCCAATTTACCGATCGGTCTCAGTGCTGGTGGTTCAAGGATAAAATGGAATGCTGCCCGTATATATCCTCGGTGTGGGTCGCTTGTTGAGTCTGATATGCGCCGCGACTCTCAGAAACGGTACTGCGAATAGCTAAGGCTGTGACTATCCATCGATGATGAGTGATAAAGCTGATGCGACAAAAGAGATTGGGGGCTGTAAACATGCAGGAGAAGACTCAGATCGGTACTAGCGTATGGTGTGAGCACGTGAGTCGATGACATCACGAACGCGTCGCGCTCAGCAGGACCACACACACGGCAGGACCTTCATTGTTCCGCACAGTCAGTCGATGCATGTACCACGAGAAGTTGCGCTGGATATATCTTGCGGATGTAAACTTGAATTGGTTATGGAAACATCCTTCTTTCAAAGCTCAACTATCCAGTCCTTGTTTCCCATTCCTCCAACATATATCCTGAGTCTTCCTCGAACCCTTCACAATGGCTAGGCAAGCCATTAAATATCCCAATTAGAAATACCAGATAGTATTTCCTGGCTCACTTCCTTCTGCCAGGCAGATCGCGCAAGTTGTATGTCTTCCGCTCCACCACTTGGTTTCGATGAGGCTGACTAATGGCACGAAGCAGCCACATCCACTGCTCGATCTCTGGGTAAGATTCCAAAATTTCCTCATCTTTCGTAAAGACTGCGTTTGGTTTAAGCCAAGGCTCTGAGGCTGGATGTACATTAACCTTGTCAATATCGAACAACTTGATCACTCGATCAGCTATCTGGGCATCAGAAATGCCGCTATCTTCTACCATATTCCAAGGGCGAGGACGCAAGCACGATAAAGCTGTCATAACTGGTAGGGAGAGATCGCCAAACAAGCCCCCCATTCGTTTGATAGCAAGAGCCTCGCTTTCGGAGATATCTATAGGTTCGCAGCGAAACATTTTTACCTTCAATAGAATACCAAAATAGTTGTCATATTCCAGATCTGTAAGAATCTCTGGGAATACGACGCGGAGACCGTGATCGAAGAGATCTTTTAAAGAAACTGCTTTATACCCTTTTCCTCTCACAACACCATGAGCGAGATACTCTTCCTCGCCAAGCCCAATCAAGTGTGTAGCATGCCACACTAGAACTCCACGGTCCAAGGCCTTGCAATCCATGATAGCAACATGAGGGTTATGTTCTGATGGCATTGAGAAAGCGTATGAGAGGACAAGGTGAAGCGATGCTGCCCACGAGCTGAACTCTGTAACAACGGTTATATCACCCCTAAAGTGACGGTGAGCCATGAAGTATATTTGGCTCTCGGTCATATCGTAGAATTCATGGCCCTGTCGACCATGCATGAAACCGTGTGGTCTGACTTCATGTGCGTTGTTAATCATTTTTCCCAGTCCGCCCCCACTCTTTGAGCTGAACGCGCGGAATAGATATCTTGGGACATTGTTGTTCCGGAGGGCTATCTTGTCAGTCATATACAATCCTTTGGTATTGGCAACATTACCTTCCCAGTGTTCTTTGCGCTGACCAGCAAGCTTATTGCTGTTGATGTGTATCATTTTTGCGTTTTCTGTCCTCCCAAATGATATCCTTACGCCTTTATTTATACGAAGCGAGTCCAATATGCAGATCTCCTGTCTTTCATGTCTTCTGCAACATGGTTTTGGAAGCATCCCGTATGAAAAATGTGCTCGTTCGTTCTGGCATTGCGCCCTCCCATCCGAAGACTTGGAGAGACAATTCAAGCTCATTGTTGTTGATTTGTCTTATTATACCCATTGCTGCATTAAGACATTATATCCGTTTCGAAGATGCGGAGTTTCCCGTTTGCTATTCTTCTCTGCATTCTACCACTGTCACATTCACCAAAAAATGCTAGAATTGGATGCGCACTGGCCTTCTTGACCTGGCTTGCGTTCACCTCAAGTCAGAATATTTTTCGGACAATAGTATTGTTTTCTATTGTTGGAATACCGCCAATAGTATTATTATGCGCACAAACATTTCGACAACAAAGGACTTCTCGCGTTTCTTTTGCTTTAAGAACTGTCTCTCAACCATCGACTCAAGCAACTACAGCGCACGAAACATCTACTTCCAAACATACCGATTTTCGGTTTCAAAATATACTCCTTGTCTATCAAGATGGCAACCCCACTCATCTATATACACTTGGATCAAAACGACCGCCGTGTCTTTGATCACGGGCTCTCGGATGATGTCGAAAGATTCGCATTCATCAGCTTTTTCGAACACGTCGAGCGCGACTTTACGAAAAATAGACGTCCTCGAACTGGCAATGGTCGAGTTGCACTGTGGAATAAGTGCTCTCGTTCATACTGGTTGCGTCACGCGCGCACCTCGCAGCCTCTGCCTCCCATCCTTCGCCCAACCTGGACACCGCCTGTAGCGCATCCCCCGCTACCTCCACCAACACAACCCCCAAATCCACCGACTCCAAAAACACCGGTATTGAGTCTGGTTGCGCCAATTCTGTCAAGTGTAACGTCCATCGCTCCCGTGAATGCACCACCATTACACCCTCTGAAGCTCGTCGCACCTGTTCCTGGAGGAACCATTGACATAACACCGGTGGAGCAACATCTGGACCAGGGCACGAAGATAGTACGAGAGGGTAATCTTGATGAGCTCACCCATGATCTCGAACGTCCTGCTAAACGCCGCCTTACTAATATTGGTGGTGAGCGATGTCCACAATTTGTTCTGTACAACAGCGTCGATGGCAAAGAGCGGAGTAAGAATTGCCACACCCTTCCACCAGCGAGAGAACAGCGTCTGTTCGTTCAACGTGTTCTTGGGGGCAACTGGCGTTTTGCAAAAACACTCAGTCAGCGATCACTTCGTGCGCCCAAGCAAGGATCAAAAGCTGGGTTTCCAGATGTGTCTACTTTTCTCTTCGCGAAGGTTGATGATGCCGGCATTATCGAAGACGTAAGCTCTCACTCATTCTTCTCAGTGTAGACGTTACTAATCTCTCTAGCGCGTTGCTGTCAAGTGCAAAGACGTCTCGATCAAGGCAGACGCCAGCCAGGGGCAAGTGGAGCGCGAAGCCACTGCGGCAAATGCTATCAGGGCAACCGGTTGTCGTCATTTGCAACACCACTTACATCTTGGAGAACACAAGGAGAACCAGACACTGAATTTTCACCTTGAAGGCCACAACGATCAGGATGCGTGGCAACTCAACTATCAGATTTCCCAATACGCGCCTCATGACGATCTCCACACGCTCATCAGGAACCACGAGAAGGCGAAGCAGTAAGTGCTCAAACCCACCAAAATCACATGGAACTAACAAGTCGTAGAGTCATTCCGGAACATTTCTGCTGGTTTGTTTTCCAATCTATTGTGGAAGCCCTCATCACTTGCCAAACTGGTTACTGCGGCGAAATTCACCCAACACCTCTCGAACCCACATCTCGTCGACCGGGATGGAGGAGGATACTGCATCTGGACATCAAAGCCGAGAACATATTCCTTGCCGGACCCGACTCGAAATATGCCTTCTACCAGCAACCTGTACTTGGGGATTTGGCGACTGCATTGTGCCTGCATCCCAACCATGTGCAACGCAAGAACCAGCTCTCCAGTGTCCGTTTTGAAGGTAAGCAGTACATGCAGGCTCCAGAGCGGTGTATGCAGTACAAGAAGAGCAAGGATTACGCTCCAGCGACGTGGGACTTGGATCATTCTACGGATATCTATACGCTTGGCCTGTTGATTCGTTACATGATGATGTGCACAAGAGTCACACCCGAAAAGCCCATCGATACATACCTAGGAAAGCTAGAGGCGGATGCTTTTGCTGCGGAGGCCAAGGGTTTGCCCAACGTCAAGGAATATCAGTTCAAGGACAACAACTACCCGTCTGTTTATAGCCCAGCTCTCAAGGATACTGCCTTGCGTTGTCTGGCCTTCCGGCAGAGGTATGACCCTTCGAAGCCGAGCAAGAAGTATCGTCCTACTCTTTTCGAACTTCGCGATATCATCGAAAAGCACTTGTCTGCGCTTGACAGCAAGCACCTCAAAGACGTGGAGACAACGCAGTCAGACCCGAGGAATACCTATCGCGTCCTCTTTCCTGAAGAAGACCAGCGCTTTGCTATTGGCGCCGAAACGCAACCGATCCCGCCAGTCAACATCTCTCAACTAGTCGATCGCGAGGCCAAGGACAGCGACAAGCAAAATGCGCATGAAGTCTGGTCATCCTACCGAAACCAGTACGAATCAGGAAGCGGAGAGAACGCATCTCCAAGTACTTCCAGCATGGAGATCATTCTCGATGATCTCAACGCGCGAGCGCGCACGCAACTCACCGAGATGACAAAGAACGTCGGAGATGTCTCAGCGCGCCAGACTGTCTTCAACGCCCTGCAACACGCCAATAACACGATGCTCAAATGCATCAATCCCACTAGTACGTTCAAGCAACTTCGCCAAAAGTTGCGATCGGATTTCTTTGCGCCGGCCAAGAAGAGGGAGATGCTCACCCAGTTCTTGGGGTGTAGCAAGGAAATCATGACAGAGTTGACAAATGAAGCAGAAAAGCTTCAAAAGTCAAAAGATCAAGTCGAAGAAGAAATCGCTGCTGCTCAAGAGACTTTGCGATCAGCCCAAGGCGCCGACGTCCGAGATGAGGCGAAGGTCGATCGTTTGACGGTTGAGCTGAAGTACCTGGTTGACAAGAAAGATTTGAAGACCAGTGAAGAGGCGGTCTTGCAGGACAAGATCGCTTCAGTGAAGCTGTTTCGCGAGGCAGCAGAATTGGGTGAGGCTTTGCTGGTGCTTGGGGAGGAATTCTGGCCTAGTGGAGATATCTCCCAGGAGGAAGAGCACTGGATGCCGGAAGTATCTCCAATTCATAGAGGCGTCTGGGAGTATTTCTTTGCCAGGCCAGATGGAGTTTTTGAATGATTTGGTCAGTGAATAAGGCATGTCTAGATACGACAGAGTATGAATCAGATAGTAAAAGATGCCGTCATTAGTGTGATGACTAAATATAGGCCTACCAAGATTGCTGACATGATGCCTACTTTGCATTACGCATCATCTTCCCTCTGCTTTCCATCTACATTCGTACTTTTTTCATTCCTGATTTATTCACTACAATTTTCAAAGTAGTCTTTCTAAGCCTAGTAGCCGCAGGAATGATTTTAGTGCACGCTGATAAAGTCAATGACGCGTCATGTGAAGAGCAGCCAGTACAGAAAAGCTTCTCCTGCGTACTATGCGCACAGCGAAAGGTGAAATGCGATAAGCAGCCTGGCGGCTGTGCGAATTGTACACAGTTGCGAGTCCAATACGTTTACAAAGCTCCACCTCCACCCCGAAGAAGAAAAAAAGGTCTGCGCGAAATCGATGTCACCGCCAGACTGCGTATCTACGAAGATGGGCTTCGTCAACTCGGCGTAGACCTGGAAGAATTAGTCAAACAAGAGTTCGCAAAAGTCACACGCGGTCAAGAGCTGGTTACGGGATTTGGTGGTTCCGTTGACGCGGGTCTGTATGATGAAAACAAATCGTCTCATGTCGTCTCTGAAGTCGGGGTTTTGTTACTGGAAGAAGGCAAATCCCGGTATCTGGAAAACGACCTTTGGGCCAGCCTGCAGAAAGACCTTCGAGAATCGAGAGAGATGCTGGACGAGGTTTTTGATGAGGAATCTTTCAGTGGAAGCAGTCACGATTCGCCAGCTACTATGCCCACAGATGGTGCATCCATAATTTTACGGGCGCATTCAGTGTCAAGGAATCCCCAATCTCTACATCCGACGCCGACCCAGGCCCGCAATCTCTGGCAAGCGTATTTGAACAATATCAATCCGCTTGTAAGAGTTTGCTATGCTCCCACTCTCGAGCAGCTGATCTTGAACGCAAATGGCAACTTACATGCTCTGCCTAGGGACGTCGAGGCATTACTCTTTGCCATATACTTTTTGACCGTAGAGTCACTCAATGACCAGGAATGCATTGAAATGCTTGGGCAGCCGAAATCTATAGCTATTCGACGATTTAGACAAGGCGCTCAACATGCCCTAATCAACGCTAATTCAATATAAATTTCCAGTGGAATACCTTCATCCATCTCATCTCCAAGCTTCGATTTAGAACCGAGGGCGAGAAGGTAGATACAGCCTGGGGTGAAGTTGAGAAAAGCTTCGTGTCCCATCCAAACTTTAACAAGGGAGTTTCAAAACGAGCACTTCCTGTTGCGGTGAACAAACTTACGCTGAAGGCTTGGGATGCATACATCGCAGCTAGAGGTCTTGCTGTGAAAGATGAACCGCAATTTATCAGGATGATACGTGAGCGCCGGCGATCAGTCCGCATCAATAAAGCGAATGGACCCGTGTCGGGTGATGCTTCTGAAGAGACGTCAGCAACAGCCTGGGATAGTGAAGAAACGTTCGACTGAGCTGCATTCAATGCAAGCCTTGATCCGCCAGGTGATGCACCAGACTTGATGTCTTTTGAGTTTCCAGAACAAATGACTTGGACAACACTGGATGATCTCTTGATCGACTTTCATGATACCAGTAATTCGGCACCCGACCCCATGTTTTTAGCGCCTCTGAAAATTAAGCCTCTTACGTAGCATCAAAGGAATAGAGATTGCTGAGCTTACCTTCATCTTCACTTTCACCACGGGACGCAAGCTTTGGCCACACGCTAGTGGGAGGTTACCAGCTACGCACTTTCTTTCCGACTTTCGCAACTCCAACAAACTTTTCTCCATCTGCAACAAACACCCAGTGCCCATCATGGCGAAGATAGGGTCGCAAGTGTTAGCAGCAGTCGCAGAGTATGGACATATAGTCTCCATTAGAAGACATCCAACTAACAGACCAGCAGATCATTGGCTTCGGGCAATTATTCCGACCTCACCATTACCTGCGGAAACGATATTCACAAAGTGCACAAGATGATTGTGTGCAACCAGTCCGACTTCCTCGCAGCCGCTATGCGGTTCGGAGGCACAGTAAGCTATTTTTGAGGAATTTGTAGGCTCTGCTAACATATACAGGAAGCGGAACAGGCGACAATTGATCTCCCTGACGATGATCCTGAAACTGTAAAGTTAGTGATCGAATACCTCTATACTGGCCACTACACATCCGACGCGCAAGAGCAGCCAGATGATTCCAGCCTTGATTCTACTTCTAAATCAAGACCTGCTCGCAAATATTCGCGTCATCGCTACCTACGCGAGTCCCCGCACACATGTGATGATACATACGGAAATTGTAATATTCTTCCATTATGTCCTCATCATAGATGCGGAGAAAACTGCGCTTGGGACTGCGATATATTTGTTTGCAAGCATTGTACATATGTATGTTTCGGGCAGAAGCCTGAAAACCTCCTGGTCCATGCAAAGATGTATGAGATAGCCGATAAATACCAACTGGCTGGTCTGAAGGCTCTAGCTCGCAAATTATTTGCGTCTGAAATATTGGCATCTTGGGATCATGAGCTTTTCCCTGCCGCTGCTCACTACGCTTTTTCGACTACAGTAGAGGAAGACAAGGACCTCAGAGATATCATTATTCGGACTATCGCTGAACACACGGGGCTTATCCGCACGACAGAAATTCAAGCTTTGATGACGGAATTCGGTGGACTTGCTGTTGGAGTCTTACTGGCGAAGGCAGATGAGTGTCGCTGGAAGTAGGACGAACAAGTATACTTGAATTGCTTGCAGGAGAAAGACAGCGTTGAAACGGCTGTCTTCAGTGAGTGACGATATCAGAGATTGCAAGTTAGAGATGGACAGTTGACACGGTTTGGGGTTTCTTTCTTTCCAATTTTCAGTACTCTTCACCATGTAGTAATTCTCGTCCCTTAGTTGTAGCACCTTACCCAAGGCCTCAGTACTTGGCATAGCTGCCGCTTGGATACAAACAATCAATGTTACTCATCACCTTCTTGCGCATCTATTATCATGACTATTACCTCAAAGAATGAGAGTGCTCGCAACAGATGACAAGCTGCCAGTCCATACCAAACACTGAATGCGCCCCCCTTTGCACAGACACGATGCGCTTCTACATGACTGTATACTATTTACCAAGGCTACCAACAAAAGTCTTGTCGGGATATATCTACTCTGCCTTCTGAATGGTGCAGAAGATTGACCTTTTTGTACCACAAGTCTTGATATCAAGATTGCTTTATCATCTTCCTACCTATATTAGCCCCTCTCACTGAAGTTTCCAGTCAGTTCCAGCAATCACGTACTGCAGCCTAGCGCGCCGCAAATTCAGACCACTGGCATTCACCTTCACTCTCGCTTGGGACTCCATCTCGGCTACAAAAACTTCCCTCGCGCACTCATAAACTGCAAAAATAACTCACTTCTCAACTCGCATCATTGCTCAACAACACCTCCACTGCAACAAAGATGGCGGAGGCAGCCAAGAAACAGCTAATGAGTTCCCTCAAAAAGTATTTCCACGTTCATTACTGCGTACGAAGCGCTAATCGCTACATAGATCGCTTGCATCCGGCCAATACTCTGATCTTAAGATAACTTGCGGTCCCGACTCGTATAATGTGCACAAAGTCATTGTATGTGAGCGAGCAGAATTCTTCGCACGCGCTATCAAGTTCGGTGGACGGGTAAGTTCCAATTCGATACGGTAATCTGAACACAGTGGCTGACATGTACAAGGAATCGAACAACAGCACCATTGACCTTCCTAAGGACGAACCAGCCATCATCAAGCTCTTGATACAATATCTGTATGAGGGCGAGTACGATCATAGCCTTCCAAATGGTAAGAACTACTTCTCTGCAAAAAGTGACCCAAAGACGCCAGTAAAGGCAGGGCAGAAAGGATTGAAAAGCAAACAAAGCATAATCAACATGATACCATTTCCTCACACTTGCTCCCAAGATGATCAAGCTCAGATATTCGGACAATCCTGGTGTGTCGATCACCAATGTATTACGTATTGCTGCAGGAAATGCGGCAACTTCATTTGTCCAGAGTGTCACTCGCACATCAAAGAAACCGCGCGGTTCCATGACCCTGCCGAGCAACTCGTCACCCACACCAAGATGTACGAAATCGCTGACAAATACAACGTGGTCGGTCTCAAGGATCTGGTAATCGAGAAGTTCAGTCGTGCATGCGAGCAATTCTGGTACGACACTTATTTCGCCATTGCTGCTCATCGCGCTTACTCCACAACTCCGGACAACGACAGAGGTCTACGTGACATCGTTTGCAAGACGATTGCCCAAAATATGGGTGCTCTGATCAAGAAACCGAGTGTAGAAGCTTTGCTTACCGAGTTCAAAGGCCTGGCACGCGATCTACTCAAGTTGAAGATAGACGAGGGCTGGAGGTGATGGACCGGATTTATCCTGTAGGTTACACGACTCACAGAGATAATGGGAGATTCAAGCGCGAAAAGAAGCATTCAACACACTGGAGTTGCTGGGGAAATCCAAGTTGGAATGGCGGCTTTACACATGCACAGCACAGCAGTGGACTACACAATACATTCTCTGGATGAAGCAGAGTGGAAATGTCTGCTTTGCAAATTCACAACACAGCACAGCAGTTGACTACGCAGTCAAGGCACCGGATACACCTGCATCTCCCCCACCCCCAGCACATACCATACACATACACATCCACACCCACATACCCAGCCCTATCGCACATCCGCACATCCACACATCCACTACACTCCATCCCTCAAAAATGCAAAAACATCAAAAACATCAAAAAAAAAACACAATCCCCCTATCCTCCATTCTCCATTCCCAACTCTAAGCCCAACTCCAAGCCCACCCCCTCACTCCCCAATAAAAACCACTACATACATGGTATGTCCATTAATTCCAAAAGGCAGCACGTATCTGAACCGGAGACAGATGCGTAGATGGGTTTTATTGCGAGTAGTCCGCGGGCGAAAAATCAAAAATCAAAACAAAAAAAAAATTTCCATGGTCCTTTTATCCACATCTACATACAAATCCTCGCCTCTGCATCTTTTCTTCTTCTTCTTCTTCTTCTTCTTCTTCTTCTTCTTCTTCTTCTTCTTCTTCTTCTTCTTCTCCATCTCCACACACACACACCTTACTTACTTAGCCAATACAACCCATACAAACCAGAAACAAAAATCCATCTCCTTCTGCCTCCTTCTTGCGTATCTTTTTTTTTTCTTCTCTCTCTCCTTCTCTCTCTCTCTCTTGTTTACCCCCCCTTGTTTGCCCCTGAGCCCCTTGCCCCTTTCGCAAATCTAAAAAGTCTAACAAGTCTAACAAGTCTGAAAAGTCAAATACCTATACCTATACCTATACCTATACCTGTACCTATACCTATACCTGTGCCACCCAACCCAACTCTACTCAACCCAACTCTACTCAACCCAACTCAATAATAAAAATCCCCAATAAACTAGAAAACCCCCCTAAAAAAAAGAAGAAGAAAAAGTAAGAGTAGAGTAAGAGTAGAGTAAGAGTAAGAGTAAGAGTAAGAGCAGAGTAGAATAGACTAGGGGGGAGCGGAGCGGAAAAGGAAAAGGACTACTACATACATACATACATATATACACAGTATTTCGATAAATCACAGACCGAAACGAAAATAACGAAATGTACTAGGATGTGTGAAGAGTTGAGGGGGGGGGGGGAGAAAAAGGGTAGAAGTATGTAATAATAATAATAATAATAATGATAAAAAGGGGGGACAGCCAAGAAAGGACGCAAAAAGAAGGGTTTAATAAGCTTTGTATGTATGTATATATGTATATATAGATGTATAGTGATAGAAAGTATGAGTCTGCAATTCTCTCTCTCTCTCTCTCTCGTCTTTATTTACTACGCATATATGATTCCAAGCATGTATTTAACAAAAAAAAAGAAGAACATTGCGAGTATCTACATGCATAGACTACAGAATCACGTTTCCCATTTGCCCCTTTACCCAGGCTTCCTTTTTCCTTTACCCACTACCATGATCATGGCCACGACCTCCACCACGACCCCCGCCTCGTCGTCAACACATCCACCCTAACCTACGCAGCCCTGATTCCCACCTACCTAAACCCCTCCCAATCAATCACTCTACCTCCTCAACCCCAACTTACTCAACCTAATCCTCGGCACAACACCCACCAGCACCAGCACACTAGCCACAACGACACCCCAATGCTGAATATGCGCAACATAAATATTATACGTCGTCCACGTGGCCGCAGAAATGGTCGCAAGACCCACAACAGCAATTAGGTACCCCGCAATACGATGGTACTTGTAAATGGCCTTTGCCTTTTCCGTGCTGCCATACAGCTGGGGCACATAGTACTGTGTGAAGCCAACGAGCGACTGGATGTACACGAGGACGTAGAAGGCGAGGCCGAGGCGCGCGTGGGCAGAGGCAAAGTGCTCGTGGCCGGGGCCGGCTTTGTTGATTTCGATAATGACGAGGCCCGCGGTGAGCGCGGAGACGCCGACGGCGTGGAAGAGAAAGTGCGCGAGGGTTCCTGCGCGCTTTTGTTCGGGCGTGTGCGTCGGCTGCAGGATGAGGGCTGCTTGGATGGCGAGGAGGAAGCCGGCCTAGGGAACTTTTGTATCAATGATACGGTTGTCGCGAGGGGCTTACAAGCGTGGAGTTGGGGTGGCTTACGGAGTTGAGGAGCTGGTGGCGCACACGACGGGTTAGCTGCGTTATCTTGTATCTGCGTTGCTGCGTCGCTGAGTGCTTACCGGATGTCCGGAGAAGAAGATGAGTTTGTTGGAGAAGATGGCGCCCCAGACAATGGCGGCGAGAATCCAGATGCCGGCTTGCCCAATGGGAGCAGTGCCTGCGATTGCATCAACAATGGCTACTCCCCGCGGTTTTCTACCAACTGTACACACCAATCCACAGGTTGTGATAGAGCGGCTGCCCCTGCATCTGACTGGCATCGCCTCTCCGCCCAAGAAGCGGCTCCTCTTCAGCCTGGCCGCGCGCCGCGGCGGCAGTGGGTGGGATTCCGGTCGCAGAAGCCATTTGGAGCGCACAGAAAGGAGAATTGCAGACGATCAAACACACAGTGTATGGCGGGGAAAGAAAGAAGACACAGTAAGAATGCGCGGCGGGAAGCGTCGGAGTTTAGAGTTGGAGTATGGTGGAAGCTCAGGCCGACGATGACGACATGAGACCCCCTGCACCCATGGACCAATCAGAGCCGTGCCGATATAACAGCAATGGCGGCGCAGCCAATCAGGACGTGGATGACTGCGCGCGGCCCAAGTGGTGATGTTTGCATGGCGAGTTTGGGGGTGGGCAAGGGCAATGCTTGGCACGCCATGCCTCTTTAGTGCATGACGGCTGGGTCGCGTGAAACCAAATCAGGGCGCAGACATGACACTTTGCATATACATTGCATACATACATATACTCGGCATATATACTCGGATCGCAGGGGTATCAGAAGCCGAGCAGGTTGAAAAAGGTCCCTATTGTACAAGTGTGCGCCCTCGCGCGCTGCGCTGCGCTGCGTCTGCATCGTAAGCTCTAGTCCCGGGCTGGTGGGCACTCACACCCTCGTGTTTTTACCCTTTTCCCAACCAGAGGCGCCCAGATACCTACCCATTGTCAAACACCCAGTCAATCGTAATCGACGCCTCGCACCCTGCAAGCATCCATACGCCGTCAAATGCCCATGCACTCGTTTCAAAAACATTACCTCCTTCCAAACCCCCCAATCCAACTCAACGTGATACATTGTCGACGCGGAAAATATGCTAGGTAATACACGTCTAACGCATCAATGGTAAAAAGCCGACAGTGACTCTGTCCGTCCGCCCTGGAGCATGTACTCTGCCTCTAATTGCGCCGTTCGCTCATGCAGGTAGGGGCTGTGCAGAGCAATCATGCCCTAATAATGTGTATGTGTACGTCAAGAAAGATAAGAAAATGTTTTTGCTCTCACTTCTTCCTCATGAGAGCCGGTTGTTTGGTGGGATCCGCCGGGTCCAGGAATTTGGTCATGGCAAGAGAGAGTTCCTTGAACTCGACCGGCTTCGTGACATACGAGTTGAACCCCGCTTCCGCACACTTTGCGTACACGTCACCAAGGACGTTGGCTGATAGTGCGATGATCGGGTGGCGACGGTATCCGTGCTTCTTCTCCCATCGCCGGATTTCTTTACACGCCTGGTACCCGTCCTTGTTGGGCATATGCAGGTCACACTGCGACTGTTAGCGCGGTACACGTAAGAAACAAGGGCGTGCTTACAAGAACGATTGAGTAGTAACCCGGCGGCTTGGAGAAGACGGCTTCGGTGGCTTGTACGCCGTCCAGCACTGTTTCAGTCTCGATATCGATCCGAGCAAGGAACTTGAGGATTACCTAGGCCAGTCAGTATCTGTGAGATTGTGAGAGCATATCTTCACTTACAGTTTGATTGATCTTGTTGTCCTCGACCAGCAAGACCTTGTGATTCTTACCCCCAACTCGTCGTTTGAGCTCTTCAAACACAAGTTTCTGGCTCACCACTACCTGCTGCGCGCTGTCTTGGTTGCGATCCGTGCTCGACTCGCGTTGCTTTTGTGGATCAAATATAATGGCAAATTTCGATGGCTTCAGTGGTCGATAGATGAACTCCAGCCGGCGGTCATTGTGAAGCTGCTCGTAGTCATACACTGGCGCTTCCTTCATGAGCTCCTTCTTCTGCGAAGGATCCGACACCACGACCACCGACGTGTTGCTGTAGGCTGTGGAACTGAAAATCTGGTCCACAATGGCGTGAACTTCCGACGTGTCATGCAGCACAAGGACGACGTGAGTGAATAGGACAGGATTGTCGCCGCCCATCATCCGCTGGGCGCCAATAATACTGGCCTGCCCGGTGACTTGATGAGGTATGCCCTGGGGAAGTGTGTTCTTGATGTGTCTGATGGTAGCTTCTCGACTGTGTTCAAGAGGACACACCACCAGGATAGAGTACATGGGAGGTTGCAGGGCACTGCCCAACGGAGAAAGACTGCGATGCGGCGAGGCTGCGCGAACAGTCGGATCCGAGTCGACAGAGCTGCTAGAGTCACACGGTGGCGACTGTCGTTCGCTGTCACTGTCAGATCGTTTGGCGGGCAAGGCTAGGCTGATGTCTGGATCTGTTGTAGGACTAGTCTCTTGCAGGAAAGATGATGCAGATGACCTTTCAGACCGGAGGCTCGACTGGCCAGTAAGTGCAGCGCTTGTTAGAGATTGGTCTGAGCTGCCAGAAGAGAGCGCAGGCGAATCTCGCGAGCGTTCAGAAGCCGACAGACTGGGTACAGGGGATTTGGCCGGCTCGCTCTTCTCCGACGACATGCTTGATACGCGCTTGATAGGTGCAAATCCAGGATTCTGCGATTGCACAAACTTCTGGAGAGCTGATGGCTGAGGTGCATTCAGAGGAGCCGACGGAGGTGCGAGCGGTGGCTCAAAGGCGGGGGTTCCTGGAGTGGACACCAGTGGCTTGGGGTAGTCGTCCGCGGTGGGAAGACCAAATTTGATGGTGAAAAAGAAGGTCGACCCCTTGCCTGGCGCGCTGCGAGCATCCATTCTGCCGCCATGGAGTTCGACAAACTGCATCGAAATGGCCAGCCCAAGTCCAGTGCCGCCGTGCTGTCTTGTGCTGCTGGCATCAATCTGGCTAAATCGCTTGAACAGGTACTTGGCCTCGGCGTCTGTGAAGCCCTGGCCAGTATCCACAACTTCGAACCGGATCATCGTCTCGTTCTCCTTTAGCGGACGAGAGCGGTCGGGCGGCTGCAGTCTACACCGTATGAAGATCTCTCCCTGCTCTGTGAACTTGATGGCATTGCCGACCACGTTGAGCAGCACCTGCCTAATGCGGAACTTGTCTCCCTTGACCTCTGCTGGGACGCCTTCGTCTACAAGGTAGTTGAGCTCGAGGCCTTTCTGGATCGCCAGTCCCATGTTGAGATCGTTGACCTCCTCGAGCAGAGACGGCAAATGGAGCCATTCCATGGACAGCTTGATCATGCCAGCTTCGACCTTGGAAAGATCCAGAATGTCGTTGATGAGATTGAGCAGACTGTCGGTACTAGCTTTGATAATGTTGACATGCTCCAATTGCTCAGCATTCAGGACACTATCTAGAAGGAAATTGACCATTCCAGATATACCGTTGAGCGGCGTCCTGATCTCGTGCGACATGTTGCTCAAGAACTTGGATTTTGCGTCCATGGTTTCCTTTAGTGTTTGTTCAAGCAGCTTGTGGTCGTTGATGTCTGTAGCTGTGCCATACCAAGTCTCTTCGTCGCTGGTTTCGGCAAGCGATCTCTCCAACGAGATGCGCACGAGATGCCATCGGTAGTCACCATCCTTGTTGCGAAGTCGGACTTCAGTCGAGTAAGATGCCCGCCCGTGAGCATCCTTGATGACTCGCAATATACCAGTGCTTGCCAGTTTCGATAGCTTGGCTTGCGGCATATCCATCCGGTCTGGCATCGAGCCGCTGGGACTAGTAATGGTTCTCTCAGTCTCTGATGAAGCGTCAGAAGCATTCGAGTCTTGTTGTCCATGGTCCGGTGGTAGAGATGTAGGCACATTGGCGATGCCGTGTTCGTCCAACTCAGGAAGCTTGCACTTGATAACATCATCGGGATGGACATGCTCGAGGAAGCCGTTGCCGAGTGCCTGCACTTCACTTTGGCCAGAATACGAAGTCCACTGGGAGTTGCAAAACGTCAAACCCCGTCGGTCTGACACGACAAAAACAATCTGAGGACTCGAGTTGGCTAGTGCGCGGTACTTGGCCTCTGAGGCAGCTGTTTCCTGTTGGCGGGCAGAGTTTTGTTCGGCAATGTGCTGTTCGTGAAAGTCCATGTTGGTGCCAATCCAGTGCACAATCTGCTGGCGTTTGTTCCTGAGTGGTGCCACTCGAACATAGAACCACCGGTAGCACTCGTCAAAGCGCTGCAGCCTGACCTTCATTTGCAGCTGCTGGCCAGTTCGCAGCGATCTACTCCATTCGTCTAGGTATGCATTGCGATCCTCGGGATGGATGGAGTCCCATGGATTCTGCAACACTTGGCGTGAAGTCTGGCCTCTATATATGAGAAACTTGGAGTTTACCCAGCTGATGGCTCCAGTATTGGGTGCGGCAGTGAAGATCTGAACCGGCAATGAATCAATAATGGTCCGGAGTAAGCTTTCTGAAGGAGGCGGCATCTCGGAAGACTCGGTGACAGACAATGCTCTTGCATGGCCCTGTGGCCTTCCTCCCGGCGTCGTCGCAGCCGGCAGCGACTGAAATGATGCGGTAAAGTCTGCGCCGTAAGAGTGTAGGAAGGAGTGGCCACGCTTGGCGGTATCCGGTAATTGAGCGCGGCGTGCATTCGGGGTCTCGTCCTTCTTCTCGGTACGCGGCTTGGAAGGATCCTCCTTGGCCTTTTCAGCGACAGGGTTTACTGTTACTCGCTTCGCAGAGCGTTTATCGGGCTTTTGTGCAGACCGCTCTTGTGCGCTCGAAGATGGATTGTTGGGGGTCTTGCTGGCTTGCTTCCTAGCGTCAAAGTAGCTCTCGACGGCCTCACTGCCAGCAAGATGGCCAGGTGTGCTGCTATGCGAGTGTCTGCTGGAGAATCCCAGTGACGTGTCCCAGCCAGGTGTTCCGGCGATTGAGCCTCCTGGGCTGTGTCTAGAGCGGCTGGAGTAGTCAGATGGGCTTGTGACGCTGCCTGCTGCCGAGTTTGCGATATCGCCAAGATCGAGATGAAGCAAGTCGTCAAGACTGTCAGAATCCGAAGGCAGGCTGATGCCTCCCGTAGTGCTGGTGGTGATACGTCTCTGCCGGATAGAGGCGACCTGAGTCTGGGCGTTGGTAAAATGCCATGCATTGGAAAAGGAGGTGGCGAGGTGAGGGCCAAGGTGTTTGAGTGAATTGGTCAAGTTGCGTGGATATGGGACGATAGGCGAGAGGATCGAAAGAATGGCAATGGGTGCTTTGCGCACGAAATCGCCTTGATGGAATGAAGTCCCCATCGACTGCTCGGACTGCCTTCTGGACATGGCCGGCGTCTGGGATGGGGTGGACGTGTCTGCTGAGGCCATTACCTGCGACAAGGTTGGATGTATCAGCGGTATGTGCGTAACCGTGCTGGCTTTGTCGACGCCGATAGCCTCGACCATGCCATACTGTGTGTAGTCCTGTGGAGACCGTGATGGGTTGAATGTTTCTTCGTCGACACTGCCGGTGGTAAAGAAGGGGTTCACGTCGGCGTCGTTTTGAATAGCTGGTGACGGGGCAGGTGACTGTGCCCATGGCGAGGTCGGGTACTGCTCGTACTCTTCGTAACGCTGGGGCAGCTGGGGCAGTCTCGGATCATTCGACCCCAGGACGGACCGTCCGCGGGTGGGTGTCTTGTGGATTTCGTGGGCGGCAGCACTGCCATGGATTGTCGATGGTTTGGTCGGTTCTGATTTGTCCTTTTCCAAGTCTTCCCGGGACGTTGACAAGGACGTCGAATAGTCTCTAGTCAGTGTTACCAAGCGCCCCCTTTCCAAGACGCGATTGACCCCAGAGTTGTCGATCAAGGCGTCGGGCTCATGGTCTAGGGCGCGCAGAACATGGTACACGGCACTCGATGGGGCAGGGTCTCCGACGCTAGAAAACTCGGGATCACTAAAAGTTGGACCTCCTGTTGGTGTCGCCTCTGCAAAGGCAGAAGAGGTGCCGTCGAAAGAGGCTTGCGAAACCTGCCTTAGTGGGTGGTCAGGCCTTGAGGCCATATGGGGAGCATGACTCGCGGCCCGCAGTGGGCCCCTTGGACGGACGGGCTGTGCGGGTATCGGCGTGTCTGGCGGCGTGCTGGGCTTCTGGCGTTCGTGGCCCGCAAACGAATGGTGCGAAAACAGTTTTGGCCTCCGCTCCGGGATCATGGTGCTAGGTGGCATGTCGAGGGATTCGTTTTCGCGGAAACTCGGTGTCTCTTCGGACTGAAAATGGCCCTGGTGTCCGGCGGATTCTTGGTACGTCGCAGTATGCGGGCTGCCATTGTTGGCAGGCGCAGTGAAGGTGGTCTTCTGGCCCCAGGGTACGTTTTCAATGTCCGAGGCATCGGCTGGCACGGCCAGGGTGGCTCGTTCGACTCCATAGTGGTCGCGCATGATGGACGTCACGGCGGTCCACCAGGCAGCCAAGCCAGGCTCGGCACCCAAGCGCAACACAATGTCGTAGAGATTGGGGCTCGGAAATCGTGGGTCTTCGACATCCGGCGTGGCGTGTTGTCGGCCTCCAGGCGCAAAGGGGGTGTTTGATGCGGCAGGCGTGCTGGTCTCCGAGGCAATACGGTCCCTGGGTGCTGCATATTCTCGCACCTGCCCAGCAGACACGGTGGGCGACAGGCTCGTAAAGGGCATGTGGAAAGCAGAGGCCCATCTTGGCGTGTTTGGGACGGTGGGGAATGGATACGACGGTGTTCGGAGGGGATAGGCGGCGGCGGGCGTGGGTGGCATGCTCCCGCGGATCGTCCTTGCGGACTCTGTTGATTCAGTAGACTCGGTCGAGGCAGTAACGCCAGTAGGCAAGGGACTAGGAGAAGGACTGCTAAAGGCACCCTCGAGGGTAGGGGATATGCTTGACACGGGCTCTTCCTTGATGGGGGATATGCGACGAGGGCCCGGCGCGGCAACGGTTGCGCTATTTGACGAGGTCCGCAGCCAGGCGCGCTGCTGCTGTTGCTGCTGCTGCTGCTGCTGCAGCTGCTGCTGCAGCAGCATCTTCAGCTGCAGATTGCGCAGCCTCTCGACCTCGAGCTCCTCGGGAGAGGCGCCGCCGTGTGGCGCCTCGGTCGCACTGTCGTTTGCCGGGTGGGCAGCGTCTTGGTCGTGGACATGGCGGGCGGGGTGGGTGCTCATGTCGAGATGGGAGGCATCATGGTCGCGGTCGTGGGAGGAGGCGGGGTGCGAGTGCGGCACCGAGGGCGAAGTGTGGGACGGGTTGGTGGTGGTGGTGGCTTTGGCGTCGCTGGCTGGCAATCTCTGCAGTGGCGGGCGCGCCGTGGGTGGCGTCGTCGTCGTCGTGGTAGCGGGGTCTCTCGTTGAATTAGGAGAGGGAGGCGGGACCTTTGTCATTATGGCATTCCCCAGTCTCCCACGTGAAGTGCAAGTGGTGTGGTGATGGGGTCGGGGTTGGGACGATAGGGTGCATAGATGGGGTCGGAGGGCGGGCAGGCTATGACGTCGCGGCGGGCGTTCCTGGCAGGAAGAAGGGCGGGTGAGAGAGGTTGGGGGGCCTGCGCAGCGACGACAGGTCGGCAGTGCGAGGCAGCAGATGCTTCGCGGGCAGCAGGCCGAGACAGGGCGGGGCGAGTTTCGGGGGGTGACGGTGGGAGCGAGGGCGTGGAGAGGGAGAATTGGGAATTGGATGGTGGGTGGGCTTGTCGGCCGGGGTCGGGAGCGCAGGAGCAGGAGCAGGACGGGGGGGGGCTCGCTGGCTGGTGGTGGCGGGCTGGATGGGTGCAGACGGGCTTGGATGCGGGCCCGGCCAGGCCTGCGCTGCGCTGCACTGCGCTGCACTGTGCTGCACTGTGCTGCACGGTACTGCGCCGACGGGGGAGGGCGAGGGCGAGGGCGAGGGCGAATGGGATTGGGAGTGGGAGTGGGAGTGGGAGTGGGAGTGGGAATGGCAGGGCGCGCACACACACACAGAGCAGACTGGCAGACCGGGACACGTCTGGCGCGTGGGACACAAATAGGCGTGGCAGTGGCAGTGGCAGCAGGGCGTGTATGTGTATGTGGACTGTACGTAGTGTGTAGTCGGGCTGGGGCCGCGGAAAGCTTGGATGGGCACGTCTGCTGGGTCAGTCCATGGCGGGATTGGCAGCATGCAAGCCGCAAGCAGCGAGCGTTAGCCAGGCCGTGGCGCGAAATTGAGTGCGAGCACGAGTGTTGGCCATGCGGCAGTCTTGGCAGCGACGTCATCCAGGGACGTCGCGTAGCCTGTCGCCCGTCACCGTCGCCGTGGGCTAGCCGCTGCCTGCCTATGTAAGCCGAGCCACGGCCGCCTGTCAAGCTTCATTTGCGCGCCTGCGCCTGCGCCTGCGCCTGCGCCTGCGCCTATCCGTACAGTACTGCTATATACTTACATGGACTTATGATTACCGCCAAGGCCCCGGCTGCGCTCCCGCCCACCGTGGTTTCCACGGCTGCTATGCCATACGTACAGAGCATCATGGCCGCCGCCGCCGCCGCGACAGCAACACGACGCCCGGGGCCTGCAGCGCCGTGGCTGCAGCGGAGCCGTATGCCACGCTGGCCCTCATTGGCCGGGCCCCCCTGCTCCACCGCGTCTTCAGATTCCCATGGCCTCCGCATCGGGACTGGCGCCCACGCTGCTCTCGAGCAACCACCACCACCACCACCACCACCACCATGGCCACGACCACGACCTAGCCCGCCCCAGCCGTCCCCTCGCGCCGCCAGAGAGCCTCAGGCGCATGCTGCGCGCCCTCAGGCTGCCATCCTTGACGTGTCGACTGCACTACTGCCCTGATGCCGCAAATTTGGCCGTTGCTGTGAGGCGCCGGTCCGAAGCCTATTGCCCAATGGCCCATGGCACCATAAGTGGTCCCATTCTGCTGGCCATCAGAAAGGCCCCCCTGCCGCCCATGCAGCGTGCCTCTGGCGAGCCTGGCCCAGCGGCATGCGCGCTTCGGCATGGCCTATTCCTGTGCTCTACTTGCATGTGCTGTAGGGCTGGCCATGGCCCGAGATGGGACGGGAGCCGCCACACGGGACATGTCTGTCTACTACTACATGTAGACAGGATTCTGTGTGGGTGCATGCATGCCATGGCACGGCGAGCCTCTCTGACTCTCTCCCAGCCGCCAGCCGCGCCATGGCCACGCCCCTCACGTGGCATGCAAACCGCAAACCCCACCTGCCGTGGCCCCCCCACACACACCCAACTAGGTTTCAGCGCTGCGCCGCCTCATGTGCCCACCACCGGCACCGCTGCGTCGAGCACGTCATCCGCCATGCCCCCAGAGCCGTCTGGTACACACACACACATACAGCAGTAGTCGCTCAGCCCGGGAACACGACCCGCGCCAATTGCGGGTACCTTGCATTGCCCACCGCACATGCACTCTCTCGCGCCATGTACATGTACATGTATGTACACACAACCCCCAACATATACGCGCCACAACCGAAACCCAATCGCTGCACCTGGCCTGTCTGCCAACTGCTGTGCCCTTTTGCGCACCCTCGCCGTCGCCGATTCCAGGGCGGCCTGCGCGGCCATCCCAAGAACATCAGCCCACGGCCTTCCATGGTGCTAGCCGCTTTGGCCTGGGATATGCGAACACAGTGGCCCGGGGAGAGAGACTCCTGAATCAGTCGTCGATCGATCGAGCACGCGAGCTGCGAGGGCACTTCATGTTCATGCTCCATTGGGCCAAACAATGGGCCAATCAAGCCAGCCTCCAGATGATCGCCATACACCACTGATCACTCCCAGGCATGCTGCGTGAACCATTCTAACCCCTCTCCAGCCTCACTTTCGCCCTCTTTTCCACCCTGGTCTCTGCTGACATACCCCCAGCAACCCTATTGCTTTGGTGAATGCCGTGGTGCAAGCCACAGGCAATACTTGGCAAGCACATGCTAGACTATAACAGTGTCGCAGTATATCCATGGTCTCGAGCCAAAGAGGTTAGAGCGTCCTCTTTTTCTTCCTACAACCAGGCACAGCCATATCCGGGCTGGCTCTTCCCTACAAAGGCAGCACATGCATCCGCCCGTCTCATGCCATTCCAAACCATGCTAGCGTCAAGGGCACGCTCTGAGAACCCTTCATACCCACTGTTCAATAGTATGCCATACTCAATCCAAGCATACAAGAGGCGATCAAAGACATGCTCTCTCTCTCTCTCTCTCTCGATTCCGACTTCACCTTGCGATGCACATCATCCCGCCATGATGACATGAAGTGTACCCCGCATCACATGTTGATTCATTCGAGTCAGTTGTAATCCGCCCCGGTGCATTGATGCATTGATGCATTCACATGGCAGCAGTACTCCATTGAAGAGAACCAACACCAACCAACACATTCCACGCTGCGTCGTCCCGTCTTTTCCCTGACGTCCACGCTGCAAAGGAAAACATGTCCGTGACTTGCCTGAGTCAGCCACGCCCAGCCAATCAGCCCCAGCACGCGAAGCCACCTTCTCCGCAATCCCGTCCCTCCATTTTCCTCCACATTCCGCGCTGCGCTGCATTCCGCCCTGCCGCGCCCGCCTACCGACGCAACCCATACTAACCCCCATGCCCGAGGCTACCGCCATGCGGGCCCTCTCCTCTTCTCTGCCCGCACGCCGCTGCAATTGCCCTTGATACATAATTGCTCGCGAGGCGCCCTTGCCCGCAACTTTGCGCGTCACAATATTTCCTCTCCTTGTTGCGTCTTCGCATACGTCCTGTCACGAGATGCCTTCAATATCCAGAGCCCTGCGCACTGCCCGCGCCTTCTCACCAAGCACGACAAAGGTACCTACGCCTCACTTACTATGAACATCAGTCTCCCTAGACATACTGGCCAGCAATTGACCCAATCAGACATACTTCAATCTCTCGCGCTCCTTTTCCTCGTCTCTCCGCCGCAATGAAATCAACAAAATCTACCCCAGCGCCGCCGCTGCCATCGAAGACATGTCGTCCAACAGCACCCTGCTGTGCGGTGGATTCGGTCTCTCCGGCGTACCAGACACGCTGATTGAGCAAGTCAAGAACACGCCCACAATCACCGGCTTGACTGCCGTATCAAACAACGCCGGCGTTGTAGGAGGTGGTCTTGGTCTGCTGCTGGAGAGCAAGCAGGTCAAGAAGATGATTGCCAGTTATGTCGGCGAGAACAAGGTCCTCGAGCAAATGTACCTCACTGGCGAACTAGAGCTCGAACTCACCCCCCAGGGCACCCTCGCCGAAAGATGTCGAGCAGGCGGCGCCGGCATCCCCGCCTTTTACACACCCGCCGCTTTTGGCACCGTTGTGCAGACGGGCGAACTAGCGCTTCGCCACAACAACGACGGCAGCGTAGCCCAGTACTCGACGCCCCGCGACGTCAAGGTCTTCTCTGGCAAGAGCTATGTCATGGAGGAAAGCATCAAAGGCGACTATGCCTTTATCAAGGCCTACAAGGCCGACCGCCTAGGCAACGTTCAATTCCGCTACTCGGCCCAAAACTTCAACGGAGCCATGGCCCGCAACGCAAACGTCACCATTGTCGAAGCCGAGCACATTGTCGATGTGGGCGAGATTCCTCCCAATGCCGTCCACGTTCCCGGCATCTATGTCGACCGCGTCATCCAGTCCACCGCTGCCAAGAATATTGAAAAGGTTGTCAATGCCAAAGACCCCTCGGAAGCCGTCTCTGCCCTCGGTAAGCGCGAACGCATTGTGCGCCGCGCCGCCAAAGAATTCAAAAACGGCATGTACGCCAACCTGGGCATCGGCATGCCCATGCTCGCTCCTTCGTTCGTCGATCCCTCAGTCGAAGTCCAACTGCAATCCGAAAACGGCATCCTGGGCCTAGGCCCTTACCCGCAAAAGGGCCTCGAGGACCCGGATCTTATCAACGCTGGCAAGGAAACCGTTACCCTCCTCCCCGGTGCCTCGTGCTTTGGCTCGGAAGAATCTTTTGGCATGATTCGCGCTGGAAAAATCAACCTCACCATCCTCGGCGCCATGCAAGTCTCTGCCAGAGGCGACCTTGCAAACTGGATGCTACCCGGTAAAGTCAAGGGCTTTGGCGGCGCAATGGATCTCGTCTCGAATCCGCAAAAGACAAAGGTTGTTGTCACCATGGAACACACGGATAAAAAGGGCCGGCCCAAGATTCTCAAGCAGTGCGAGTTTCCGCTTACGGGTAAGGCGTGTGTGAGTAGGATTATCACTGAGTTGGTGAGTCTTTCTTTTTCTTTTCCTTTCTCTGCTTCAGCTCTATGCAATTCGCTCAACTAACCGCAAAATCACCTTGTAGTGCGTATTCGACGTCGACTTTACAGAAGGTCTCACCCTGATTGAACTCGCCGATGGCGTCACCGTCGATGAAGTTCGCGCCAAGACGGGCGCTGATTTCAAGGAAGCCGCGGAAATTAAGCCCATGTTGTAGATGAATAAATTCCAGGCCAGGGTGGTGGGTAGTAAAGAATGAGCGTGGAGAGAGTGTTAGTTAGAGCGTGCAAGAGAAATGGAGAAATGTGTGAAGAGAGTTGAATAAGCATCAAGTAAGAGTGGAGAAAAAAAGAGGAAAAAGAGGAAGATTACCACGCCAATTCAAGTCAAACCAAATAGAAAAAAAAATTCCGCGTTTTATTCATCCACGCATTGTTGTTTGTTTCCATCTCGCACTAACTATCTATCTATCTATCTATCTATCTATCTATCTACTTTTCCCTACAGCTTCAGCGTATATATATATATATATCAGACAACCCAACATGACTTGCAATAAGAAGAAGAAGAAGAAGAAGAAGAAGACGAAGCAAAAAAAAAAAAAAAAAAAAAACT